ATTATAGCTCCACCTATACATTCCGGCTCGGCACGCTTGGTACCCAAAATAAAAAGCAGCATGGGCACTCAGGCACTGAGGAAAATGACAACAACATGTGTGATCATGGATCAGTAACTGTATCACATGGCCCGGCAGAGAAACGACATTAGTCGTGTTCAGTTGTCAGAAATAAAATGCCAAAAGCAGGCAAGAAAGAGAACGCTAGCTAACAGGAACTAGCTGGCTTGCCATTATAATCTTTGTTGGACTGAGTCCCTTGGAGCCAACAACCTACTGTGTCATGTTCAGGAAAATATTGCTACCTGCTTGTCATAGCTAGTGCTATAACATAAGCTATCTGACAACTGCATTAGCTAGCTAACATTAATAGTAGCTACGTAATGTATAGCACATGGCTATTTTGCTTTTCTCTGCCATTATTTCTTCAAAGAACTAGTCAGCTGCAGTATTTTATTACAGTTCAGGTTTGTGGACTGTTAAGGCTCGGCTACCCACAGACAGAAAGGTAGACAGGCTTTTCCTTGTCCAGACTGGTTGAATGTTGGTGTGTTTGGTTTCTTGTTTTGGTAAAGTCTCTCAAAACTGAAGGGGATAATTTGACTTATAAACTGAAAATATTGTGTTTTTGACACTATGTTGAGAGTAACTGCAGATGTATTTTATGTTGTAGTTAGTTCCTATATGCTTACTCTACTCTACTTGACTGAATGGTGTTAATTTGTAATTAGAAAGCATCTATTAATGCTGTGTAACGTATCCATCTACTTATTTTTTGACCCCAGCTGAGGAGCTGCCTTTGTTAAAAGTAAAATAACTAGATCTGTGTCGACAGGCCACCAGTTAAAGGACTCTAAGTTGTCCTAATGCGCATATAGTACAGAGGCTTTTCACACTGGCTAGATTCTCTGTCCTATTTTTCCTTGCGATGTTAAAATGAATGTTTAATGTCTTAATGTCTCACTTTAATGTCTTATAGTATTAGGCAACACTATGGCTGATCATGCCTCTGTATGCGTTGTCAATGACAGTAAGTGTGCATGTGGAGAGATACAGTGCAAATGCAGCTAATTACTCGCTGTTTGCTGAAACATTTTAGAATCAACGTGAGGAAAAGTCAACCGAGAAGTCAAGCAGATGGTCAATCTCTGTATCTTCTTTATTATTCTCTTTTCTTTCATGTTCAACACCGCTAGCAGGGCTAATCGATGCCTGTGTGTTCAACACTGGGGGGGTGGGGCGGCCTGCGTAGTTTGGGGTTTTCTCCAGGCTGGAGTTGGGGGGGATTAGGAGGTAGCTGCCTCATTAAATAATTATTTTTTATTACTAATTTAGATTTTTAACACAGATTCACAAAGTGCTTCACAAGGAGATTAGAGGACCCATATCTTACATATCTTACAAGTCATAATTCATTTTTATATGATCATTTTTTAGCTGCTTTTTATCCAACACAGTTAAACAGCCTGCATTTTTGTTGTTGTGCCTTTAATGACTGACATATGTAAATGAGCTCAGTTCTGATTGGCTCTCTTGTATTGAACCTCAAAAAGCAGTTCAGGCTGAAACACTTCTCATAACTTCTCAGTGAATGGGTGGGGCTAAACTGCTGTGCGCTGAATAGGCGGAGATATGTAAATGTTTTTGTGACATCACAAAAGCAGTGAATTCAAAGTCAAGCAGATGGTCAATCTCTGTATGTTCTATTTTATACTCTTTTCTTTCATGTTCAACACCGCTAAGAGGGCTAATCGATGCCGTGCTAATGTGTTCAGCCCTGGGGGGAGGTGGCCTGCGTGGTTTGGGGTTTTCTCCAGGTGGGAATTTGGGGTTTAGCAGGTAGCTGCCTGAGGCTAAAAGCTCAGAGAAATCTGGACTGGGACCCTCCTAGGAGACAGTGCAGGACTCATTAGCTGCTTGCCTTACAGCACATGCTGAACACAATCCATTTATCATGATGGGAGAGGGATGGCCATAACAGATGAGGCCTTTCTGCTGGGAATATTTACACTACCATTCAAAAGTTTGGGATCACTTTGGCACCACTTTAGTTCGGGATCACTTGCCAAGTTAATCATTTTTATTATTTTATCCAATAATTCCTTGCACAAAGTGGATTAATGTCTTGTAAACTAGACACTAAATCAGGGGTCGGCAACCCAAAAGTTAAGAAGAGCCATTTTGTCCTTTCAATAAAAATCAAACCACCTTGGGAGTCACAACACTGTATGTCCATTTTACTGTCTTGGCTGTAAATATAAGTCAGTATGTGTTAATGTACTAGTATAGGTTAAAAATATATTTAAAAACACAGACTCACTTTGCTCTGCTTTAAGCTTTAGTTCAGCTATAGTTGTTTTCTCACATCTCTGGCAGGAAACTTTTCTGCAAAAGTAGAACAGTTTCTTGTAAAATGTCTCTCAACATTAGACTTTTTATGAGGCTGAAGTCGCTTCTCATTCACCAGCTTCTTGTTCGAATTTTCTCGTTCAACCCTAAAAAGGTGGCTGAGGCGCCAGAATGTAACTGCTGCACCATTTAAGGTGGACTTTGAGAATTTGAACAAGAAGCTGGCGAATGAGAAGCGACTTCAGCTTTGCAACTTTTTAGTGTTTGACAGTTTCTCGTTGCAGTTTAAACATATCAGGAAACCAGCTGGAGTGATTATAAATGCAAATAAGTCCATTCAACTCCAAATTATCGTTGTTCATCGTAAATATTTCTCTTTGCCTTTTCGTTAGCTACTAGCTAACAAAGACCATTTTCTGCATTGCTATGGTGACCAGCAGTCTGCACACAAACCTTCAGGATTAAAGGGTAAATTAGCAGATATAGGCTACTTTAACTCCAGCGTTTAAGACCATTTATTGTTAAAACCGTGTTGAACGATCAGCAGAGCCTTATTTTACTGTAAAGGAGGATTATTTTATTTTATTTATTTATTTATTAGCCACAACAGACCAGGTAAAGAGCTGCTCAGGTTTTTTTTTTCTGGAGGAACTACAAGTTGATAGATAGCATACTGTAATTATTTACATATATTAATTGCTTGTCAAGATGTGATCACTATCCAAATCTGATTCATTCTAGATTTTAATTTTATTATAACTTCATGGACATATGAAGTTGAAGACCTCTAGCATCATGTTAGACTAAGATCTGCAAAAAATGCTTTTGTATTATTGAACAGTGATTCCAAAGTTATGAACAGTGATTGTAAACTTCTGAATGGTAGTGTAACACAAAAATATCATTACGACAGAATGCAAAGCCATAGTTTACATCACCATTGTCATGATCTGACCCACATCACTCCATCCAGAACTGTCATTTTACACAGGTTTCCTCACTCCACATTTCGTATACTGTACGCTGTAATTGGTATAACTCTATAATGAATGGTGCGCTAGTTTAACATTTGTTCTGGGACTTTGGATTGAGGAGAAAAATCTTTCAATCAATCATTGCTAATGCTCTACAGGCAAGCAGTGCTGAATTGAATCAAGGCTTGAGTGAAGGGCCATTAAGAGTCATTGAGTTCACTGGCAGAGTAACTGAGGCCCAGTATTGACATTATGATTGAGGGCCACTGGGTTTGCTGGAGAGTGGATGCTGGTATTTTTCTCTGCTAACAGAACCGGTTTGGGCTACAGGGACTGGATCTGTTTCATTCTGACGCCGTTAGTCTCATAGTCTCAAGTAAAAAGTGTGTGTATGGCTGTGTAGGGGGTTATTAATTGTTTGATGATCACACTAAGCTCTTTTGAAACTGGCTTGTGGTTATTTTTTCATTAATAATTTAGATTTTTAACACAAATTCACAAAGTGCTTTACAAGGAGATTAAAGGGCCCATATCCTACATATCTTACAGGTCATAGTTCATTTTTACATAGTCATTTTCTAACCGCTCTTTATCCAACAGGCTGTTTTTTTTGTTGCTGTGCCTCTATATGTAAATGAACTCTGTTCTGATTGGCTCTGCTGTATTGCACCGCAAAAAGCAGTTCAGGCTGAAACACTTCTCATAACTTCTCAGTGAATGGGCGGAGCCAAACTGCTGTACACCTAATAGGTGGAGATATGTAAATATGTTGTAATTTTGTGACATCACAAAAACAGTGAGTTGAAAGTGGGCTGTTTTTGCACCTTAGATTCCATATATGGGCTGTATGGACTGGGGAGTGAACAGCATTTTGAAAGTTTAAGTGTTTATGTACCACAACTACGTCTTATATGTTGAAAAAAGTGAAGAAAATTTGTTTTTCCAGTTAAAACAACATAATAAAAGGCTTACAAATTATATATTGTTATTAGTTTGCATTCTAAAAGGTTGGATTACTTTAATACCGTTAATCATTCCATCTCTTAGTGCAACACAGATTATCTTCGTTTGATATGTCCGTCTCCTTTTCTCAGTAAGGTTCTTCTTGACAGCTACACATCCTTTCAGACCCACAGCGCTGAGTCGTCTTCTCACAGTGGAAGGATGGACAGAAACACCTGTGGATGTTTTCAGATCTGAAGCAGCTTGATTTTCTCCTCTCTCTCAAAGATGAAAGCTTTAAGTGCTGTTTATCTGATGGGGGCAGTTTTGGTGTCTACCAGCTCTTCCAGGTGGTTGTTAGGAGTCACATTTTCTCTGTAGCTTTTAATCATTTTTTGTAACTCCAGTTTTGAAAACTCCTTTTGCTTGTTTTCTTTTGACTTTCTCCTTCATTACACAAGTGGATTATTTTATTATGTACTTAATTGTTTGCTTTAACTGGAAATTCAGTAAATGAAGTGAATATAGAACTGTATATCAGGCTTTCTTGGGCTGTGTTAGATTGCTGAGCAGAGAGATGTGATTAGAACACACCTCTCTCTCTCTCTCTCTCTCTCTCTCTCTCTATCTCTCTCTCCCTCTCTCCCTCTCTCTCTCTGAACTCCCCCTCATCCTCAGGCTCTCAGTGGTATGTTCCCAGATACTCTCTCTGACTGTGTTCTGTCTTAGTCAGTCAGCCTGAGCGCTGCCTTCACACACACACACACACTCGTCTCTGAATCTCACGCTGCAGCATCGTGTGTGTGTCTCAAGATGAGCGTCTTCAGGCTCACTGTGTGAGGAAATTCTCTGTCCATCCAGCATGTCTTCCCCAGGCTCGGCCGACAGCAGCAAGAGGAATTCCTGTAAGTCTGCACTTCTCCTCTCTTCTGGGCTGTGGTCATCTACAAATGTGGGTGTTGACAGAGGTTGGTAGATGTTTAAGTGTAAAGGCAACCAGTGGTCAGTTTGTTGTGCATGGAAATGTTTACAGATCTACTATTCATTAATTATTTTCCACTGTATTCTATTCTATTCTATTCTATTCTATTCTATTCTATTCTAATATGCTGTTTTTCTTTTCTATTCTATTCTATTCTATTCTATTCAAGTCTGTTGTGTTTTATTCCAATATACTGTTTTTCTATTCTATTCTATTCTATTCTATTCTATTCTATTCTATTCTATTCAAGTCTGTTGTGTTTTATTCCAATATACTGTTTTTCTATTCTATTCTATTCTATTCTATTCTATTCTTTTCTATTCTAATATACTGTTTTTCTTTTCTATTCTATTCCATTCTATTCTATTCTATTCTATTCCATTCTATTCTATTCTAATATACTGTTTTTCTTTTCTATTCTATTCCATTCTATTCTATTCTATTCTTTTCTATTCTATTCTATTCCATTCTATTCTAATATACTGTTTTTCTTTTCTATTCTATTCCATTCTATTCTATTCTATTCCATTCTATTCTAATATACTGTTTTTCTATTCTATTCTATTCTATTCTATTCTATTCTATTCTAATATACTGTTTTTCTATTCGATTCTATGTATGCATTGTATGTATGTGTAACACACCTGGTTGACCGAGCCTGACTCTGACTTCAGAAGTGAGATGGTTTGAGGTCTGTTCAGCTGTTTGTGAGGTGAATCTCTCAAATCTGCAAGTAAATATCTTCAGCAACACTCCTGTAACTGTGGGATCAGTTTAAGAGATGGGAGGAGACTCAGGAGAGAGAGGGAGAGAGAGAGAGGGAGACTTTTGCCAGTGTGCTGATTGTCAGTGGGTGGTCCAGACATGGTGGAGCTGGGACACTGTGCTGGTTTGTGATTGAATATGAAGATGATTTCGTCCGTTTGTAAACAGGCTGAAGGGTGTGTGAACACAGAGCTTTAGGGTGTGTGTGTGTGAGTGTGAAGTGTGCGTGTGAGGGGTCTCGGGGCGTCTCCGGGGGAGAGACATTCACAGGGGAGTGTGATCTGAGTGCTGTGATTAATAGAGCTCTGCGGCTTACTGTGTGATCATCACACACACACACACACACACACACACACACGCACTCACTCACAGTCACTCACACACACACACACACACACACACATGCATTCTTTTATCTACATGAATGCTGCTGAAGCTGCCAGACTGATTCAGCTCAGCTATTGATCAGATCTGCTGACAAAGAACTGCATCTTCATTACAGCCTCTCTCTCTCTCTCTCTCTCTCTCTCTCTCTGTCTCTCTCTCGCTCTCACTCTCTCTCTCTCTCTGTCTGATATATTAAACATTCATACTTTTTATCCCACTATATTCTTCATTGATCAATCTATGTTCCACCCACGAATACATTCTTAGCAGCCGTTACTAAGTTGGACAAGCTTTACAGAACGCTGGAAAAAAATCTCACTCAGCCTAATGAGAACCACTATATGTTGGTCAAAATGTGCATGTTTAGTGTGTTCATGATTTCAGATGATATTTATCTTGTGTAAATGTGAAAGGTCACACAAAATAGACTATTTTTTCTGTATTTTTAGTGCTAACATGATATGCTAAGTTGTTTTAAAATTACTAGCTAGCTAAGCCTTTATTTGTATCTCTCCATAGCTCTAGCCCAGGGGTCGGCAACCCAAATGTTAAGAGGAGCCATTTTGTCTCTCCAATAAAAATCAAACCACGTTCGGAGCCACAATATTTTATGTCCATTTTACCATTCTGGCTATAAATATGTCTCAGTATGTGCTGATGTTCTAGTACAGGCTAAACATATAATATAAATGAAAACGCAGACTTAGTTTGCTCTGCTTTAAGCTTTAGCTCAGCTATAGCCGCTTTTCTCACATCTCTGGCAGGAAACTTTTCCCGCAAAAGTAAAATACTTCCTTGTAAAATGTCTCTCAATGTTCGACTTTTTACAAGGCTGAGGTCGCTTCTCATTTGCCAGCTTCTTGTTCGAATTTTCCCATTCCACCTTAAATGGTGCAGCAGTTACATTCTGGCAACCCAAGCACCATTTAAGGTGGAACGGGAAAATTCAAACGAGATGCTGGCAAATAAGAAGCTGATTTCAGCTTCATGACTTTTTAGTGTTTGACAGTTTCTCATTGCAGATTAAACATTTTAAGAAACTAGCTGGAGTGATTATAAATGCAAATGAGTCTATTCGTCTCCAAATTATCGATGTTCATCTTAAATCTTTCTCTTTGCCATTTCGTTAGCTACTAGCTAGGCGAGACTGTTGTCTGCATTGCTATGGTGCCAATCTTCAGGGTTAAAGGGTGAATTAGCAGTTCTACATTAACTCCAGTGTTTAAGACCATTTATTGTTAAACTGTGTTGAACGATCAGCAGAGCTTTATTTTACTCCAAAGGAGGATTATTTTATTTTTACCTACAAATCTAATTCTCCTATAAAGCCACAACAGGGCAGTGAAAGAGCCACATGTTGCTGACCCCTGGGATAGCCTATCTATGCTGACAAAGCCTGAGACAACATGTTGCGCTTGCTGTAATGTTCGTATGTATGGCAAATGTGCCAGGAAAAATATTGCCTTAGAGTAACTTCAGCCCTGCTAGGCTACAGAGACTACAGTGTTAGTTAGCTGGAGATGCTAAAACAGCTGAAGCCATTAAACAGTTTAACGCTTAAATCAGATATTCATCTCTAATCTATCTGACATGGTGACCCAGAACTTAGCTGAACATATTTTTGAAAAAAGAGTTTTTCTTATTAGGCTAGATGGGATTTTGACAGCCTTCTGTTTAGATTAGAGCTTTAATTGGGCACAAAATTTTGCTCAGAACTTGGCCTGAGGACTTTCTGTTTAATAATATGACCACATTGGCAAGTTCCCAGATTGCAAGCACATATCGGTCTGCTGGCTTGATATGGTCAGCACCCCACTGACTGTTTGCCACTGCTGGTCCACCCTCGGACCTCCCAGATTACTGTCCTGCATACAAGCTCTAACTAGTTTTTAATCTCCCCATGCACAGAGCCTATATTTTAGAATAAACTTAGACAAATATTCAAAGAACTGAGAGAAAAAAATACTGAGTAGGCCTGCTCCATTAAAATTATTTACTATACTAATTTACAAAGTATAACTAAAGAAAGGAAGGAAGGAAACATAAGTAAATTGGACTGTGAGTGGAAAGCAAGCAATGATAAGTGGAATTTTGTCTATTGCTCTGCTTAACCACCATTGGGCTGCCTGGAAAATGCTGAGCAAAACACCAGTGGACTGCCTATTCTGCCATCAGCGGTCCAATGGTGGTCCACTATCCTCTTGTTATCAGAGTTTTGATTCTGAACAAAACAATATATATAGTACATAACATGAACAAAACAAACACAATTAACATTGAATTTAAACATCCTCTCTTGAATCAGTGTTTTATTTCCCTTGCATTCATTTTCTCACAGGTTTGGGCCACATAGACTTCACTGCTAAATTCTGTCATGACTGTGAGTGGGTGACCAGTGTGCCCAGTTGAAAACTATTTTAATGCAGTAGTAAAAGTAGTGAATTATAAAGTAAGGAGTAAAACTAAAATGGGGGAAATGCAAATCTGTTAAAAGTGTCAGATGGGCTGTGAGAAACCAAATGGAATTTGAACCCAACACAAGGGCAACACATATTTGGGAAATAACATCTAAACCTGACGTAAGTAGTCGGGTCACATCAGGTTCAGACACATATATCAAGCTAGAACGAACCGGTCAGTTCCACAACACTAAAGCTGATGGGCAGAATACTTAGTTAGTGATAGCTGAACACTGAATACACTGTCCTGAATGTATTCAGTACTGTATTCTATTACAATACATAAAAAGTATAACATATTCAGAACACATTTAGAATAAATGTAGAATACATATTAATGACACACATTGAAAAAACTCTGTTGTCATTTTTATTTAACTATAGTTGTTCTTATGTTGTTCTTCATTTCATATTATTCTTCCCTTTTTATTCTTATTTTTCTGCCGGATTTTTGCTGAGTAACTTGTGCCGCAGATATCAACACCATCCCAACTCCATATTGTCCGGTCTGATTGTGTGATTCAGACTTGTATACAGCTTTTTGATTGGATGCCTGGTTTTTATACAATCTTCGTTAAATTCCGAATTTTTTTTATCCTAGGAATGAATGGGGTGAAAAATCGCACGACCATCTACTGTATTTCTGCTCAACCGAAAGGCACCATTTTGCATATACTGAATATGAATTCAATGTTGTTTTGACCCGCACTCATCTGTTAGTCATTTTTTTCTATCCCTCGTTCCTCCCATAGAGCCCCATTCATTTTCACCACCACACAAACTCTATTACTCCATTGCCCTACAGCTACCAAACTATGTGTACTTACTAAGGAAAGGACCTCAAACTCTACTGCACAACCATACCAACCTGCACTCCTCTATGTGTCATTTTTTCATCCCTCGTTCCTCCCATAGTGTCCCATTCATTTTCGCCCAAACCCCAGCCCTGTTTTTCCTTTGTCCATCAGACACTAAAATGCATGTACTCACGCAGGGCAGATACCCAAGCTCTAATCCACAGTCATACTGACCCGCACTCCTCTATGTGTCGTTTTTTCATCCCTCATTCCTCACATAGACTCCCATTCAATTTCAACAACACTTAGCTAACATTTGGCAACTCCCTAAGAACAACTAATTAAACACCTCATACACCATGGCAACTGCTTAGCAGCAATTTAGCAACCACATGGGATACCATAGCAACTGCTTAGCAGCAATTTAGCAACCACATGGGATACCATAGCAACTGCCTAGTAACACCTTGGCAACCACCTGGGATACCACAGAAACTAACTATCAACAACCTAGC